CATGCGTCCCTTCACCAGTGCATGTTTCCCACCTCCAGTGTCCCCAGTTTCCCTCCTGAACCCCCTCCCCCTCTCCCCACCTGCCTCTGTGTGACCGGCATATTTCTTCTTCTTCTCCTCCTTCTTCTTCTCCTTCTCCTTCTTCTTCTTCTCCTTCTCCTCCTTCTCCTTCTCCTCCTTCTCCTCCTTCTCCTTCTCCTTATTCTCCTCCTCCTCTTCCTCCTCCTCCCTCTCTGTCTCTCTCCGTCTCTCTTTTTTCTTTCTCTCTCTGCCTGTCTATCTCTCTCTCGCCCCCCTCCAGTGCCCACTCTCCACCTTCCTGTGGGCCTCTGTCGCTGTCACACAGGCCGCAGTTCCTGCAGGAGTGACCAGCCCGAGCTCCTGCTTGCAGATCTTCCTGGGCAGCAGGCTCAGGCCCTGACTCTGCTGGGACGGTCCCTCCTGCTCGCTCGTGTTTTGTGTCACACCCCCCTAGGGGAAAAAGGGGAAATTTTTTCCATCAGTAGTTCATCTCCACCAGGGCTGCTCCAGCCTTTTCCCCTCGCCATGCCGTTTTGTCCAAGAAACGCCACCCAGGCACTGACTGCCAGGTCCCGGGGGCTTCATGCCCACGAGTGACTTCTGAATGCATTTCTCAGTCCCTGTGTGTTCAGGAAACTTTGAGTTCTTCTGGCTGAAGGCCTGCTCCCACCGCCCTTAAGCCAGAAGACCTCTAAGGGCACGCGCCCCATGGTGAGTCACAGAGATGGCTTGGAACACAGCGTCTTGCCACCGCTGTGGCTGTGGGTGTGATGGAAGCCACGCGCACATGCGTCCTCCACGCTCCTCTGGACGCACGTGCCCTGTAGGGGCGGGCAGGATCCAGCTGGAGAGGTCCGTGCCATCCAGCCACACAGGCAGGGAGCCCCAGCGGCCCCTCAGCCCCTTGGCTGGACCCGCAAGACGTCAGTCTCAAAAATGTAAACTTTTTTTTTTCCCCTTTTGTTTTTGTTTCTGGGCCCGGGCTGGACCCTCAAGACTTCAGTCTCAAAAATGTAAACTTTTTTCTTTTTTACTTTTACGGACAGGAAACACAGTTGTATATTTAACTTCCCTCAGGATGGGAAAATTCTTCCAAAGCATAAAAACCATGAAGGGGCGCCAAAGAGAGGTCAGGAGAAACCGAGTCTTAAGAATTTTTCAACGACTCTCTGTTAACTCGCATAAACACAGTCTCAAATAGGCGACGGGGAGAGGAGGCAGGTGTTTGCCCAGGCAGGACCAGAGGGGCAAGAGCTCCCGGGGTCGCAGGTGGGCAGGGTGGGTGGGTGGGCCCGATGGGAGGCTGCCCCGGATGGCAGCAGCCAGGGCAGGGGCTGTGCACATGGGAGGCGGGTGCCCTGTGTGTGTTTTCCTCACTGGCCCTGACGCCGGTTAGTGCTGTGGACAGGCCAGAGGCGGCTTCTGTGGCTCTTCCCAGGGGCATCATCAGTCGCCGCAGCTCCTGGGGGACTCTGCGCCAATTCCCCCTCCCCCCCCCAGTTGGACGCCTCTCAGCCCCACAGAGAAGATGCCGTCCATGCCCAGCGAAGCCTCTCGTCCAGCCTCCCCGTGCTTCTCCCACCGCCACCTTCAGTGCCCGAGGGGAGAGGACCGCACCCCACCCCACCCCCCAACACCGGGGCCTCACTGCCGTGCTATCATCTCTTGCACCGTGCCTGACACAGACGTGGTCAGAAAGGGTGTGTGTGCAGGCAGGACACCGGGGTTGGAGCCCCAGCAAACCTGGGGTGGTGTTGCCCCAAGCACTCTGGGAGTGGCCCTCAACACCGAGCACTGCCACACCAGGACTCGTCCCTGAAGCATGGGCAGAAGTGGTCCTGACGCAGCAGCAGCAACAAAAGTATGGGCTTAAAGCAGGGTAGTGCCTGTTTCACACAAGGGAACGGTGTACCGTCATATTTTAAACAAGATTGTACCTTCAGGATAGAGGAAGTGGCTCACCACGTAATGTTGAAAATACAGAGTCCTGGGACTGGAGCAGTAGCGGGTAGGGCGTTTGCCTTGCACGCGTCCGTCCCGGGTTCGATTCCCAGCATCCCATACGGTCCCCTGAGCAGCACCAGGAGTAATTCCTGAGTGCATGAGCCAGGAGTAACCCCCGAGCATCGCCGGTTGTGACAACCCCCCCCCCCAAAAAAAATACAGAGGCCAGGGAGCTGCCTCCCCCCCCACCCTGGGCTGCAGCACTGGCTCTACACACAGGAAGCCCAGTCCAGCCCCGAGTCCAGCCCTGAGTCGGCAGCAGCCTCTGAGCAGCCCCAGGTGCGGCCCCCAGATCCGAGCCAGCCCCACATAGAGACTGTCGGCTGCAGGCTTCCACAGTGTGCTCCTGGGCTCACCAGGCGGGCCTAGGTGCCTCTTTGGGGTCATCCATTTGCATTGAGGTGTGTAAAGGAAACAGGCAGAGGAGGGCAGAGCAGGGCGGGGGGGGGGGGGGGGTGCCACCCGTCGCAGGCCGTCCTTCCTGCAGCCTCCCAGGACATGGAAGGAGTCACACACGAAGCGTCTCCACAGCCTCAGACGGGACGTCCCCTTTCTAGTGAAGAGGAAACGATTTCTCCTCTTGCTTCCTCATCCTGGGTGCTTCCTTGTGGCACAGTCAGCACGCCCACCTTCTTCTTTTCCCCCCTAACGAGCCCATTTTGCAACAGCATCCCGAGTCTCAGGTGTCAGGGGGTAGAGGTGAGGGCCGCCAGCCGCCCCAGCACCCCTGGAAGGAGGGCCAATCCCATGCAGGGTGGCTTTCTCCGAAGATTCCCTTTTCCCCTCTCACCCCCTCGGGTTTTTCTTAGCCTGTGGGATACCACGGCCGTCGACCCCGGCACCCTGCCCCTGCCGGCGGCCTGAACACTGCCTCTTCCCGGGATCTGGGCATGGAAAATTTTATCCCCAGCCACGTTTCTTCGAAGGGTGTGTTTTGTTTTGTTTGGGCTCAGGCACGGAGTCCGTGAAGAGACGCAGAGCCGCGCCTGGGTAACTGGAGCCAGCCTCATGGCCCCGCACGTGCGCCTCCCCCCAGCCTGACCCATTTCCACGGGCCCTGGGCCTGCCTCGCTGCCTAGGTGCACACCAGCTCCACAGCGCCACGCCGGGCGCGCTGAGCCAGAGGGAACGGGAAGTGCCTCTGCTCTGGGCTGGGTCCAGCCCTGGCCCCTCTCCGCTCTCCCAGGCCAAGGGGGCTGGGGGGACAGGCAGCCAGTCCCCCTGCAGTGACCTGTGGCGTCCCCTCTCACGGGCTGAGTGAGGATGGGCTCTCCCTCCCCGCCTCCCCCCCTGGCATAGGCATCCCCTCTGCTGCTCTTTGGGGTGCCTGCGGCACTGCAGGTCTGTCAACTCTGCCCCCTGCTGCTGCTGCTGGGAATTCTCCCCTAAGGTGCTTCCTGTTCTTGTTCTCAGGTCAAAAGGACAGTGCTTATCTTCCTGCCGGCCTTCTTGCCTTCTTTCCTCTGCCAGGAACCAAACCCAGGGCCTCTGTCGTACCAGACAAATGTTTTCCCACTGAGCCCCGTCCCCGGCACTCACCTTCCCATTGGCCGTTCCTCCCCTGGACCCCCCCACCCTGGCCCCCAGTACTGCCTTTGTCTCCGGCTGTCTCCCTCTGTGGGTCAGTATTTCTCCACGTCCCTCACCCGCGCCTGACTGGTCTCTGCTGGCCTCTTGCCCTCCCTGTCATGCGCTGACCCCCCAGCCTGAGTACAGGGACCCCAGCACCTTCTGTGAACCCTGGGCTCCCCGCCGCCACCGTCTCTTCCTCCAGAAGGACAGACGCCCCCTCCGTCCGCAGGGCTGTTCCAGAGAGCAGACTTGAGCTTTTCCAAACTGGGTCTGGGTCAGGCCTGGCCAGTGGTAGGGACTTGGGGATTCGCTGACTCCCAAGAGAGAAACGGTGCAGACAGAACCTGTCCCTGAAACCCGAGTTCCTTCCTTTCTGCCTGAAAAAAAATGTCCGCACTGGGCACAGGTCACTGCCAAGGGGCCAGGCCTGGGGCTTCGACAACAACATTCACTTAAGCTGTTACTGTTGGGGTCTTGATGTCCTTAGGGGAGTGCAGTGTAATCCAGCTCAAAGCTGTGAATGGGCGTGTCTGCCCGGAGTGGAGGGAGGGAGATGAGGCACCTCCGGGGGTCAGGACAGGTGCTGAGGGCAGGAGGAAGAGCGGCCCCAGCTGCTGGCCACCCCTGGGGTGTGTCTTGGTGTTGACACAGCCCCCTGGCAGCCTGGCCCTGGAATTTCGGGTTCCTTGGGAGAAAGGAACTGTGTGCATCCTAGGCGGCTGAGCCTAGTGCCCACAGGGGGCAGAACTGGGCTGGCCTGGCCAAGTACTCACTCACCTTGGAGATAGTCTTGCTGTGGATTGTTCTGGAAAGAACTAGGGCCCTCTCCAGAACATCCGAGTGGCGATGGAAATGGCCACGACTGGTTTTAAGTGTAGGGTCCAGAGAGTGAAGGGCATAGATGGTGGAAAGGGGATCAGAGCTTGTGCGCCCCCCTCGGTCTCCCGTGTCTTATTTAAAAGCCTGTTTCCCAGAGGCTGAAGAGAAAGAGCACAGCTGGTCGGGCACCTCATTGTCTCACACGAGTTGACCCAGTTCAATCCATGTGGTGTCCTAAGCCCTGCCAGGAGTGATCCCTAAGCAGCGCCGGGCGTGGCCCAACCCTCAAAAGTACAGCACCACACGTGAAAGTCCCTTTTCTACTTGGTGTCCAGGCCCAGGAGTTCTGAGAAGCAACTTTCACTTTCCTTCCGGCTAGCGCAGGCTCTCCTGCCACTTGGAGAAGGTGGCAGGAACCTGCAGTGTCTGAGGCATACCCATGGCCCCGTGGGGCAACTCTGCGTCACCCATGGTGGTGGGGCTGAGAGTGGCGGGGCTCTGGGCTGTCTAGCCCCTGCCCGGGTCCCAGCACTGGTGTCCCAAGCACGTTTGCAGTGACCAGCGCGGTGGGTACTGTGTTTCAGGAGGAGGACGGCGACTACACCTACGTGGAGAGGGTGAAGATTCCGCTGAGCCATGGGACCTTGTTGCTTATGGAAGGAGCCACGCAGGCTGACTGGCAGGTGAGAGCAGGCCCCGGGGTGGGGGATGCATGGGGGCTGAGAAGCTTCTAGAACTGTGGGGTCGAGGCGGTGGAAGGAGGGAGGCCATGGCAGGGTGGTGGCTCACCCAGCTGCCATGTCCAGGGCCGACTGTGAGTAGACGGTGGTTCCCCATCCCCGCGCCCAGCGCCGCCCCCTGGGCATGATGGCAGTGAAGCTGAAGAGGGACTTCCCTCCCTCCGACCACCAGGCCACCCTACTTCGGTCTGGCCACCCTAAAGGCGGGTGTTGAGGTGGGTGAGGCACGGCCAGCGGGGGTCCTCAGGCCGTTGTCTCAGCCCTTTGCCTTTCTACTGAGATGGCTGTTGTTGCTCACTTGGTTTGGGCTTGGGGCCACACCCGATGGTGCCCAGGCTCACTCCTGGAGGGGCTCAGGGGACCCTATGGGGTGTCGGGGGTCCAACCAGAGTTGTCTGCGTGCAGAGCAGGTGCCGGACCCACTGTGCTGTCGCTCCAGACCTGTCTTTTGACTGAGATGGAGGAAGTAGCAGGAGGCAAAGAGGGAGGTGGCGCTGGTGGGAAACTGAGTCTCCCCGGTAGTGCTGTCAGTGAACAGACGTGTCTCAGGGCTCTGCGGGGCGGCCACCCTGTGTACAAGGGCTCCTGTGGGTGGCGGCAGCCTCCAGTACCTGCACTGGGTTGCCTTGACATTTCATGGGTGTGTGTGTCTCTGTGTCTGTGTGTGTGTACACCTGTCTGTGTGAGCATGGGTCTGTGTGTGTATCTGTGTGTATGTGTCTCTCTCTTTCTGCTTATCTGTGTGTCTTGTGTGTGCGTGTTTGTGTGTATGTGTGTGTGTATGTCTGTCTCGTGTCTGTGCATGTGTCTGTGTATATGTGTATCTGTGTGCGTGTCTTCGTCTTTGTGTGTATGTGTGTGTGTCATGTCTGTGTGTGCACATGTGTGTATGCATGTACTTCATGTCTGTGTGCACGTGTGTATGTGTGTGTCTGCACCTGTATCTGTGTGTGCATGTGTGTGTCTGAGTGTGTGCCTCTGTGTGCACCTGTGTCAGTGTGTGCATGTGTATGTCTGTGTGTGTCTGTGTTTCCCTTGTGTCTGTGGGCACACATGTGTCTGACTGTGCGTTTCCGTCCCTGTGCCTTGTGTATCCGTTCAGCACCGAGTGCCCAAGGAGTACCACTCGAGAGAGCCGCGTGTGAACCTGACCTTCCGCACGGTTTACCCAGACCCCAGAGCGCCACACCCATGAGTGAGGGGGGTCCCTGACGCTGAGCGAGGCTCCCCCATGGAGGTGCCGCTGCTGCTGTGTGCCAGGGCAAGGCAGCCGGCAGTTCTCTCCGTGTTCACTGCTGGAACGTGAGCCCCGATGGCCTCTGGAAGTCATGTATTTCGCCACATTAAAAGCTGCTGCGGCTGGTTTTGCCTGTGACCTTGTCCTGTGCTCGTTTTCTGCTGCGCCCTGGGCTTGACTTGGGGAAGCAGGAGCGGGTGTTGCGTTTGGGGTGAATGCACACACATGTGCACATTCCTCGTGCACATTCCTCGTGACCCGTGGCAGGGCCCCGGGAGCCACCTGGGGGCAGAGCTGGCCTCCAGCCCCGCGGCGACAGCCCCCTCCCCAGGCTCTGCAGCACCGTGGGACAGCAGTGAGGTCTGTGGCTCATTGTCTCCCACTCAGCCAAGCCTACGGGCTCTGGGGGAAGCGCCAGGGCTGTGCCCTCGCCTGGGTGACCTGTGATACAAGAGTCACCATCCTCTCCCGGGGCGGGACTGAGGAGAGTGAGGTCATGAGGAGCAGGCCGACATTCAGACCAGAGCTGACTGACCCCAGAGAGTCACTTGAGGCTGTAACGCCCAGCCCAGCGCAGGGAGCAGGGCCCGGGGGAGTCGATGGGTCCCCGGGCAACTCTACCCTGCTGACTAGCCTCTGTGCCGCCCGCCACACAGCTCCCCAGGAGTTGGGGATCAGCGGTGATGTCATCCCTGCTCCCCTTCCTGCACACGAGCATGTGGCGTCCTGGCCTCTACAGCAGTGGCGCCTGAAAGAATGCGGTTGAAACAGGAGAAAGTGGGACACAAGAGGCCCATCCTGTCGCTCTGCAGGGCCGCGCCCAGCGCCTTCTTGAACTTGTCTGGTCTCCCCGTCAGCCCGTAACCCCCACTGCTGGGGCAGGTGCCGGGCACACGGCCTTGGGAACCCACCCCAGACCCGAGCCCCTTCCTTCCTCTGACTCTGTCTGGGGCTCCCGGTTCAGCCACATCACTGCTTCTCAGGCTTGGCCTCACCTGCCACTGCGGTGCCCTCCCTGACCCTTCTCTCCAGAGGTCACTTTCTCTCGCCGTGTGGGTGTCCGGGTGCGCCCTCCCACGCAGAGGCACGGACCACCCTGGAAAGAAGCCAGAGCCTTCACTGCTCCCCGCTTCCCTCCAGGCAAACGCGCAGGGTCTGACCTGGGTCCGAGCTGAACCACCCCTGCTGGGGCAGAGGGGAGGGGAGCTTCCTGCCTGGCGATACCCACGTCCTCCCTAGCCTCTCCCCTCACCACCGCGTGGGCACCCAGTCCTGTGCCGCCGCCCGGCCACCCCCAGGCATCTTCGTTCGGGAGCAGAGATGGTCAGGCTGTGCCCTGCTCGGCCTCCCCGCGGGAGCACGAAGTGGGCACTGGCCAGCGGGCACCGCCCCAGGGCTTGGCCCCGCACCCAGGACCCTGGCAGAGGCGGCCGCCGCCACCGCCGTCGCGCCCAGGGACCGGACCAGCCCAGAGCTGGCGGCCGCCGCCCAGAGACGGCGAGGAATGGGGGGCCGGGCTATTTTTACCGAATGACTGGCAAGGCAGAGGCAGCCAAAGGGCCTGAAGAAAAACAGGTTTGGGCTCTCAGCTGCCCCTTTTGGGGGAGCTTCAGGCGAAGCCTGTCAAGCAGGGGCTTCACTTTCCCACGCAGAATCCTCATCGTGTGCACACCCTGCGCGAGAGGGGTGTAGACTAGGCCCTGTGCGGTCCAGGTGAAGTCACCCTGCAGGGCCTTTCAGTGACAGACAGACACGCAGGCAGACAGACTGGTAGACAGAAGACAGACACACACACGCACACACACGCCACATGCCTGTGAGCAGCGCTCCCTGCAAGTATTCCTGTTCGCCCACACCGAGCTTCAGTAATTAATTGGCCCTGGAACTAGGAAGCATAATTTGGGTAGGGAGTTTGGGGGGGGGGGGGGGGGGCGGGGACAGTCTCGTTTCTCCCTGGCTGGTGACACAGCACACTGCTTTGGGAACCCACCCAAGACTCTGGGTCCCCTTCCTTCTTCCCTCCCTCTGACTCCATCTGGGGGCTCCCGGTCCTGCCACATTACATCACTGTTTCTCAGCAGACGCCACCCAGAAGTGTCCAGGCAGCAGGCGGGGGGTGCCTGGCCCACCCGCTCGTGCTGAAGGGGACACTGAGTACGGGGACGTGCGTGGAGATGCTCAGACCCAAGTCGGGGGGTGCTCAGTTGCTTCCGGGCGTGGGACCCCTGCTCCGACTCCTGCCCCCCCGCCCCCGGGGTGTGGGGTCTAAGTTGAGTGGGTCCGGGCCCAGGGTGGGAGTGTGCCAGGGGACACCCGCGACCCGGCCCTGCCCCAGGGGAGCACTTCTCCCTGCGCTCCTGGCGGGGCTCCACGGCGGCCACAGGCAGCAGCCCCCGTTGCCTTTTCTGGGCATAAACACTCGCCGTGTCAGGCCCAAAGGCGCTTCGACTTTATTTTCCTCTAACGAAGCCTTTGACGCCTGCCTGCCTGTGAGCGTTTCCATGGCGACGCATCCTGTTGGTTGGCACTTGGGCCATTTGCTGGGTCCCCCACGAGACTCAGGGTGGGGCGGGTGTCACAGCCCCCCAGCGGGAGGCAGCAGGCAGCCAGCAGAGACTCAGGGTGTGCCTCCCAGCACCCCCTGGGGTCAGAGGGCAGAGCAGGGACAGGGAGGGGATGGAGGTCAGTGACGGCCACCATCATGCCCCTCGTCCGGTGGCCCCTGCTCTCAGGCGGTTTCCGGCAGTGTGGACATCCACAGGTGTCCAAGACTCCGGGGGTGCTGAGATGTGCCTGTCGCCCCTTATTCCCCACAGCCCAGGGTGACACTTGTCCCACTATTGAGGGAACGACTTTGCCTGGGGACCCAGTTTGTCCACTCCCCGCCAGGCATCTGGTGGGGGGGTGCAGTTGGCCATGGGTTCTGTTGGGGGGTGATCCAAGTGCTCTCCCACCCCATGGAGCAGTGGGGGCCGGGGTTGGGGGTCTGGTCGGCCCAGAAGGGGGTGGGAGAGGGGCTTCCCAGAGGTGGGTCTTGCCCGGGGGCTGGGGAGCCCTGCACCCACTCCTTCATCCCCTGTTTCTTAGAGGAAAGAGGCCTGGAATGTTCTCCGGAAACGGGTCCAGGCCAAGTCATCACGGTTCCCCCCAGCCCTCCCGGTCGCTCTCCCTGCCCTCTGCCTCTTCTCCCCCAGAAGTCAGCGAGGCTGGGAGTGAGAGTCGAGGGGCCCCCTCCTGGCACCCCCTGCTAGACTGCTCAAGGCTGGGAGGAGGCAGCTCCTGCCTCCTCCAAAGTCCTGAGACAGCAACGGCTGTCCCTGCTGCACAGAGGAGAAACTGAGGCTGGGAGCAGGCTGGGGCAGAGCCAGCCCCACACTTGGCCCTGGTCACCTGTGCCAGCTCCCACTGGGCTGCTCCTGGACAGACAGACACTCTCTCTCTCTCTCTCTCTCTCTCTCTCTCTCTCTCTCTCTCTCTCTCTCTCTCTCCCTCTGTACAGACACACGCCCCTTCCGCTAAGAGCAGGTGGTGGCGAGGGCAGACAGAGCCAGGGCCAGCGCGGCCAGCGAGCTGTCCCCGGCTCCTGCCGCGTCCCGGGCCGCCACCTCCTGCTGAAAATAGCGCAGGCGCACCGGGCACTGGCCCCGGCGGGGCGGCCGCACCAGACTGGCCCCAAGTCACCCCCTACTGACTGTCTGCAGGGAGGGACTGGGAGACCAGCCCCTGCTCGCCCTGCCCCGACCTCTGTGGGTTCAGCAGGGCCCTGGAGGAGAGTGAGCAGGCTGGCAGGGCCGGTGGGGCCAGGGCTTAGGTCCCTCCCCGCCCGTCCGTCCAAGCTGAGCCCCCTGGGACCTGCCAGCCAGGGCCCAGCTGCTGTTTCCTCGCGGTGGAAGGGACTCAGGGTCCTGTGAGGGTCCAATCCATAGATGCATTGGCGGCATCAACAGCAGCACATTGAGAACGGGAATTGCTTTAGGGGAAACATTCTACAGGCCCTGTAGACCCCACCCTGCTCCTCCTGGGGCTGGTGGTGGCTCCCAGGCCCTGTGACCGGCCTTTCTCCAGGGCCTGCACTTTGGGGCCAGGCCCAGGGGCTGCAGGGAGGTGTAAGGGAGGCCGACCCCATTAAGGCCCAGCACCAGGCGCAGCACCTCCCTCCTGAAAGGCCCCTGCAGGATGGAGCATCCAGATGCCGAGTGGCCTCGCATCTCGGCTCGGCTCCCTTCCGGCCACCTCACCACATGCTCCCCAGGTAATTGGTCCCCTAATGTGCTGGCCTGGCCCGATCCTGCCACCTCACCCCCGGGCTCAGCTCTGGCCCCTCTGTGAGGCCCCCGCCTGCTGCCTGTCTCTTCCTGTCCTTGCTGAAATGGTTTTGATACTTGGGCCCCCTGGCCCGAGGGGAAACCAGCTTCCCGGCTGGAACTGGGTTCGGGACCAGGGTCCTGTCCTGCTGGGGGTCACTCCCAGCTCCTCCTGGCCCTGCATCCTTTGTACGCCATGAGAAAAATGCAGGAAGGAAAAACCATGGGGAACTTCCCAGCCAATGGCGGCAACTCTGCATCTGCTAGTGCAATCTCAGACGACAATGAAGCAGCACTCCAGCCTGGCAGGGGGACGGTCTCGGGCCCTTCCTGCACCCCTGCACATAGAGTGGGGGTGCTAGGGCAGACCCCAGGCCCCCGACCTGGTAGGGGAGGCGCGGTCAGGGGTGGGGAGATGGGCAGTATGTGATCAGCCCTCTGGTGTGGACACACATGTCCCTGTTGATATCGGGGTGCGTCCACTCTGAGCCTGTGGGTTTGGGGCACCGAGGGGTGTGAGGTGGGATGACAGAACCGGGGCTCAGGACACCTCTAGAACTTCGGGGTGGGGGCCTGAGCTGGGCGGATGGGACCAGGGCCCCCTCCAGTGCTGTATCACGTGAGCGCCAGGGCTAAGGGTCTCCCTCCAGAGCTCACAGGTGAGCCCTGAGTTTGACCCACCCTTTTTGGGGGGGGGTTGAAAGGAGGTGGGAGGCCACACCCGGCAGTGCTCAGGGGTCACTCCTGGCAGGGTTCATAGCATCATATGGGGTTCTAGGGGTCAA